ATACAAAGTAAAATTAATAAAACATATTAAATGCAATTTGTTGATAATATGTGACACAAATTGTAGATAGTTACATTTTCTATATAAATTATAATCAGAAGTAATGCAGTTGTGTAAATTGTTATCTATATTTTCTGTGTAGCCGTAATTTATAGGAAATTGAGTTTAAAATTATAAAATATGAAATATTTCTTTAAGCTACCATCCACGTTCGGTTATTGAATTACGTGAGCAGAAAAGTAAAGTGCTTATTTCAGGAATGCTTTACGGTGATAAAAGTGTGAACAAATTCAGTAGAGGTAACTGTTCTTAGCTATCTTACGAAAAAAACTAACGATATATACATAAAATAAGTTATTTACTGGAACTGTTTGTAAATATAAAACCTATTAAAATTGACAGTAAGTTGTATATTTTGGCATTTTATTAAAAACGGAATTAATGCTAAACGTATACCCTTGACCCGTAAGGGGTAAGAAATCAAATTCACTATGGAACAAATGTACGCGATATATGTTACAAAAATGCACTTGAAACTGTTTGATCTAGGAAAAGGAACATAATAAACTAGTGGAAAAAATTAAGGGAGATGAAATATTTCATCAATTTTTTAGTGATTTTTGAAAGATTATCTCTTAGTGAAAAATTATCGTCGAGATAAAAACAAAGCAGTTTTGAAGCTTTAAATCTCTAGTATCAAAACCTTTTGACAAAAAAAATTATTTGAACTAGGATTATCGATATCTGAATCTAAAGAGATACTTACCTCGAGAAAATAAATATTTTTTTTTGGACTGTTTACGGACTCGGAAAAATGTTTTCAAACTCATCAGTGTAGAAGCCAGTTAGCTTGTTTAACCAGCTTCAATTTGCTTTTTGAAACGGCTATTGGTTACCGAGATATTAATGGTTGAATGAAAAATGACACTTTCGTTTTTGATCATCAATCAATAAAATATTGCACGGTAGAGTCAAGGGCTGCTTTGAAAACTTGAATAAATTCCCTAAGGACCTATCATGGTTTTCGTAGAAAATATTTTTTTTCTATAAACGTCAAAAAATGACAAGGTTTGCGCATTGACAACAATATGCGAAGTGACACTTTTTTTCAGATTCTTACGTTACTCTGACACTGTGCGCGAAATACTTCGCGCACTAGGGTGCGAAGTATTTCGCACACTGCATGTAAATTAATAAGAGTTTTGTATTTCAATCTTTAAAATAATTATTATTGTTGTCAACAACGGCCACTTTGTTTCCATAGTAACAGTGAAAATTTGATTAGGAAATACATTTTAAGCCAGCTCAACACTATTTTCTATAATAAATTAGGCATTTTACTTATTTATAATATTTTTAAGAGATAGATTTTGACGTTTGTAGAAAAAATATTGTTTGCATCTCGTGCGCGAACTACTTTCGTGGTCTCGAATAAATTCAATTCTCGATCACCAAAGTAGCATTTCGCGCACTAGATACAAAAATAACTATTTTGTATCTAGTGCGCGAAATGCTACTTTGGTGATCGAGAATTGAATTTTTTAACGAGGCGAAGCCGAGTTAAAAAATTATTCGAGACCACCAAAGTAGTTCGCGCACGAGATGCAAACAATATTTTTTCTACAAACGTCAAAATCTATCTCTTAAAAATATTATAAATAAGTAAAATGCCTAATTTATTATAGAAAATAGTGTTGAGCTGGCTTAAAATGTCTTTCCTAATCAAATTTTCACTGTTACTATGGAAACAAAGTGGCTGTTGTTGACAACAATAATAATTATTTTAAAGTGACGTTTGTGCTCGCGTCTTCAATTTTTAAGTGCCAGATATTATTTAAAATAATGGAAATTGCTAGTGACGATGAACTAAGTAGTACCCCACCTAATTTGGCAGATGCGGCCAATTTGGTAACTTCAAATCTTTTACCGGAAAAATCGAAGCGCCAATATGAAAATGCATATCGGCAATTTAAGGAGTGGTGTGAAACAAATAAAGCAAGAAAAGCATCCGAAAATGTGCTGTTAGCATATTTTGCAGAAAGATCCAAGAAGCTGAAGCCTTCAACATTATGGGCAGTATATTCTATGCTAAAATGCTAAGGAAAACGTAGATATTAAAAAATTTACTTCGCACCCTAGTGCGCGAAGTATTTCGCGCACGGTGTCATGGTAACGTAAGAATCCGAAAAAAAGTGTCACTTCGCATATTGTTGTCAATGCGCAAACCTTGTCATTTTTTGACGTTTGTAGAAAAATAACTATTTTTCATTCTTGACATAATTTGAAAGAAAATACTTTTTACTGTTTTTTAGAAAATCTACCGGTAATTTACAAATATTTATGAAAAGACTAAAGTTGAGAGAAATTTTTACAGTTTAATGTATCCACAATAACCCTGCAAATTGACAAGTTGAGTTTGGAAAGAAGCAAAGAAAATTATCAAAATGAAAAAGAAGAATTTTTCTCGACTTTTCCCACAATTTTTCATTAGATATTGTTTAAATTTAAGAAAAAAAAACAAAAAAAATCAGATTTCTTCTCGAGGTACTTCTTTTGATTCCTCGATAATCATAACCCAAAAAAAATGTTTGTCAAAAGATCTTGAAACTAGAGACTTAAAACTTTAAAACGTTTTTTTTTTTTTTCATCTCGACAATACCATTTTTCATTGAGAAACAGCCTTTTAAAAATAACTAAAAAGCTTATGAAATATTTTTGTTTCCTTAACTTTTTCCAGTAGTGTATTTTATTTTACACATCTATACGGGGTGTCCCGTTCATGTTTCAAAATTCATGTGCAAATTCCGTATGGAAAAATAATAGGGGTAGTTTATGTAAAGTTTTTTTCTTAGACGCCCTGTTTTAGATATACAGTGTGTTGAAGTTGTTACTTTCCAAATGGTTTTTCTTAGTTATCCTTAAATCAGCTAAAGATAAAAATGTCAAAATTTGTACACGAGTAAATATCAACTGTGCATTAACAATAATGTGCAAACGGTTTCTTTCTGAAAAGCAGTGTCGCCGATACAGGTAATTGGAGGGGTACAATCGAAAAAAAATGTTAAGTCAAAATTTATTACATTTCTAAAAGGTTCTGTCTCTCCTTTAGAGTTTACAAAACCGTTTAGAAATGTAATAAATTTCGACTTTTAACATATTTTTTCTTTCATTGTACCCCATTATCTGTATCAAAGACAACGCTCTTCAGAAAGGAACCGTTTGCACATTATTCTTAACGCACAGTTGATGTTTACTCGTGTACAAATTTTGACATTTTTATCTTTAGCCGATTTAAAGATAATTAAGGAAAACCGTTTGGAAAGTAACAACTTCAACACACTATACATATTGAGATAAATTACAAATTTGAAGTTTAAATATTATAAGTAAAAATTAACAAATGTCAAATAATGACAGAGTGAAGGCAGATGGCAGAGAAAAATTCAATGACAGGTTAAAAAAATTTTGGTAATGTAAATTAAAATAAAAATATTAAACTTATTGTTTCATGGAAATTAATATAAAATTTGTCAGTAGAATATTAGAAAAGTAAATAATAGATAATAAAGTGTAAAGTGAAGTGAAGAAGAAAAAAATAGAACATTAAAACAATATAAAGGAAGGTGTAACGACCTTCAGGAATAGTGAGGATCAAGGAAAAAACAAAAGAAGGGAGAAAAACGAAATTAGATACAAAAAAAAAGGAAAATGAGAGAAGTCAAATTGGAAGAATAAAAAAAGGTTGGAAGTAAGTGGAGCAGAATAGTAAAATCAAAAGGAAATTTATATTACGTACAAGTAGATGCATAGAGGAACCTCCAGAGGCAAAGATAATGTAAAAGTAGAGTATGAAAATAAACTTCAGGTATCCAGTTGGTTAGCAGTGTGAGAAAATAACTCAACTCCTACTACTCAAGAAGAGAAAAAAAAAAGGTACTTACATAATTAATTTGTGAAAGTCAATACAAAGTATCAACAATAAGTTACAAATTTGACAGCTCTGAACATTTCAAGTTATTTGAGAATTAATATAATATATGTAATATTAACGCCCCTACCTTAATAGTGCCATATTCAAATGCATATACAATAGAAAGACATTGTGAAGTTTCACTGGAGGACAAAATTAATTTGACAGGAACAGGTCAAAAGTTATAATTTACAATTAGTTAACTAAGTGTTGAAATTTTAGATTAATAAACTATTACATGCAAGCATATGCAATAGTATGTAATCAACTTGAGAATGGAAACAAAATAATTTTGAAAATTTAGTACATGTAAAAAAAAAAATTTACTTTATAAAGTTGATTATATATGAAGGGGAGACTCGGGCAAAAGGAACCATGCGGGCAAAAGGGATCACAACATTTTCTCTAAACTTGCAGTAGATCGTCCATATTCGGTGTGTCTTGATAGTAGCCACCACAGTTTGCCATTGTTTGTGCGTTGAAGTGAGTTGGTAAGTACTTATTTCTTAGATTTATTCAATCAATAATATTTGTTGGTATCTTAAATCATTAAATATATATTAATCAATTAGAAATTATTCATAGCGCTTGATAGATATTCACAACTAAACACGTGTATTGTTAAAAGTATTTGTTTCTGTTTATAACCTAAAAATAAGGAAGTGGCTAGGATCCCGTTTAAATATTTTTAATCGTAGTTTGACGAGTTGGCTGCAAGTCGGGCAAAAGGAGCCGGGTAAGAATAACCGGTTCCAGTTGCCCGGTTCTTTTTGCCCGTTGTATTGAAATTTTGTGTTAAAAATTGAAAATAATTACAAAAATATATTTATTTTTTAGAAAATGGTGTTCAATTATAAACGCAAAAGCAATAGAGGTCAAGGATGGACAGAAGACACAATGAGACTCGCATTGAGTGCCATTGAGAAAAAAGAAATTTCAATACGTGGCGCTGCCGTACAGTTTGATATTCCATATCCAACCCTAAGAAAGCACGTTGTAAAACAATCCTGTAATAAAATTTGCGGAAGAAATGGAAGAGCAAATTGTTCAGCACGTCCAAGAATTGGACGCTCGTTTTTATGGTTGCACAAAACAAGACTTGTGCGCTTTGGCTTTTCAGTTTGCAGAGAAAAATAAGCTTCCGCACAGTTTCAAAAACGGTATTGCCGGAGAACAATGGTATTCAAATTTCATGCGCAGACACCCGGAACTCAGTCTTAGGACTCCAGAATCTACCAGTATTGCCCGTGCGTGTGGTTTTAATAGACCTCAGGTTCAGCGTTTTTTCGAGAATTTAAAAACAGCTAGAGAAAAACATAACTTAGAACTGGATAACATATATAACGTGGACGAGACCGGAATACAAACATCTGCAAAACGCCCACCTAAAGTCATTTCAACCAAAGGGAAAAAACAAGTTGGGAGTATTTCGTCAGTCGAAAGAGGACAACTCGTAACAGCAATATGTTGTTGCTCAGCTTCTGGCAAATTTATTCCTCCAGCTCTAATTTTTCCTAGGAAAAAACGAAATCCAAGATATTTAAATGGAACTCCGCCCGGCACTATTGATTTTGTAAGTGATAATGGTTGGGTAAACAGTGACATTTTCCTTCAATGGCTGAAATTTTTCGTAAAGTCCGTGCGACCAACTCCAGAACAGAAATGTTTACTGGTTTTAGACAATCACGTATCTCACAGAACTTTGGAACTAATAGATTATGCATCAGAAAATAACGTGGTAATTCTTTCAGTGCCACCGCATTGCACCCATAAGCTACAACCATTGGATGTAGCTGTTTATGGGCCATTGGGAAAATACTTTGAAAGGTCAGTCGACAAGTGGCAAAAACAACATCCCGCACAGCACATCACTTTATACGAATTGGGAGAGATTTTTGCATCAGCGTATTTGCAAAGTGCAACACCACAAAACGCTATTAATGGCTTCAAAAAGTCCGGTATTACTGATGGAGATATTGATGTATTTAGCGATATAGACTTTGCACCATCGTTGGTAACTGATAAATTGCAAGACAATGAACAACAAGTGCATAATTATTCTGACGTTCCGATAGCATCATGCTCAAAAGAAAGTGATAATCCGAATACTTCTAGTGACAAGAAGCAGAAAACTCCTCCATTGTTTAACAAATCTTTGGAAACCAAACATATCAACCGAAGTTCTGTAGATCATCATACTCCAGGTTCACCAATAATTTTATGCCCAAATGAAAAAAGCAAATCTCGTTCCGTTGAACAACCAAGAGCCATTTCGCCCATTCCATCTTGTTCCTATTATCAACCAAAAAAAAAAGTCATTTACTCCAATCGCTGAAATTAATCCACTGCCACGTGTAGAACGCAACGAATCCCAAAGGAAACGCAAAACTCAAAAATCCGAAATTTTAACTTCGACTCCTATAAAAGAATAGCTTAGAAACGAAAGTATTAAAAGAATTAAGATTAAGACAAAGTTGCCTTCCGATATGACAAATACAAAAAAAGTGACCAAGACCAAGGCATCAAACAAGCAATGCGAGTTGATATATCCAAAACCTCCAGAAAAACAACTTGACCCTTCAAATGAAAATGTGCCGTGTCTTGTCTGTGATGATACCTATGGCAACTCTGCACCGGGTGAGTACTGGGTAAAATGCAATTTTTGCCAGAATTGGGCTCATCAGTTATGTACTGATTACAAATCCGGTGTATACATATGTGACAACTGCAAGTCTTCTGTTATAAATAAACTTAAATAACATGTCACAATAGTTCTATACATTGTTCCTCTTGCCCATAGTATGTATTATAAGTTATGGTTACTTTTGCCCTTAGCAGTGGTTCATTATGCCCGGTATCTTTGGGCAAAAAGAACCAAAGTAGTCTTTTATTTTTTTATTTTTTTATAGAATATTCGATTTTGTTATTACATTTTAATAAAGATATTTTGTAATGTATCAATCGTATTATTTTAATTAAATTTTTTCAAAATTTTGGATTGAATTATGTGATTTTGATTGATTTTTAAAGTTAGGTGGTTCTTCTTGCCCGAGTCTCCCCAAAATAATTTAGAATTTAGTATTTCGTAAACAGTGTTAACTGAGGATTATTGTTTACAATTGTTTGTAGAAATACAAGAAATATTGGAATTGTTACATAAGTAATTTATGATTCGAGTTTTAATTTTGTTGTTTCGATGAATTGTGCTATATTGTTACTAGAACTGATCCTGAGATGAGAGTGGTTGAATATAAAAAAATTATCAAAGTATAGTTCTTATAATAATTTCAATTTAATAATAATAATAATAGAACTTAATCCAAATAAGTAATTTAATTTAATTTCGATAATATTATACATACTTATATAAAAAAAAATTATTAAATTAATATTAAAAATAAATTAAACAGTTTGCAATTATTACAATATATCGAAAACAGAGCGTCTAAGAAAAAAATGTTACATGAGCTGCCCCCATTATTTTCCCATGACGAACTTGCACATAAGTTTTTTTGAAACATGAACGGGACACCCTGTATAAAACTGTCTCAATAATCTCCACTACGTCAGAATGTTTCTTTTTACTAGAATATGTACTTAATAACTTCTTAATCTGTTCTTGTGTCGCTGTTATACGATAAGAACATTTTACCTGTTGTTATTATTATTTCTGTTGTTTGTTCACATCTTGCATGAACGTTGAAAAATACTGTCAGTAATAGCCAACATGCTTTATGGAAAGTGACACAATGACGAATTTATTTTATTACTATCAGAAGCCTTGGATAGTCAAAAGCGGGTAAATGTCACCTGTATATTTTTTGTACTGCTGTTTAAGAAAATGTCTTTTTTCGATCAATTTTTGAGCTGGGAAGTGACATAAGAGATCAGTAAAGTAGCTTTACCGAGTTCTTAGCACACATGCACTAAAAACAACGTTGGTACAATCCGTACAATATTTATTGAGATAGCCATAGAAAAAAATAAGCCAATAAAGTTCTGTTATCGGAACTACTGTAACAATATACCGCGGCAGAAGCATGCTTTGAAATTTTCCACCAATGTCTTTCTATCTCGGAGGTACAATGCAGTTAATTCCAAAAAAGTAACGCAGGGGTCTTCTTGGAATTCTATCTCCACAAATACCGTACGGATTGTATGTATGTATGTCTTAATTTTTAACAGCGTTCCTTCTCACATTAGTTTAGTATTTAACGGCTTAATATTCACATTTATACCCAGAAAGGAGAAAAACGTCTGCCAATTAACATCTCATTTGTCGGGATGTAATAATGAGAAATATCTAACATATCCTTACCGTTAACATTCTGTTAATTTCCTTATCTAGTATATGACCACTGGAAGCGGATTCTTAATTGCAATTAAGTATGTTTTGCGCAATGAAAATAGCGTAACATACGCGCGAGAAGGAAAAATAAACTAACAAGAATTTTATAGCATTTCTCAAGTTAGATGACTTCCTGTCAATTTCTTTGAATGTGGGAAGGAAATTGTAGATACGCAGAGTGAAAGTTTTTGGTTAGCATCTCACTAAAAGAAATGTGTTTGGAAAATTAGAATTAGAATTTCGGTTATATTATAAAGTATTAAACAATTGAATATCAGGCAGAACTAAGGATTCAAAAGTCAGTACAAGCAAAACAGAAAAATAACTAAGTGTGGTGTAAGTAGTAACGAAAGCAGGAAGACGAAAGTAAAAAATAATTGAAAAATTGACATGGAATGATAATAAATATCTAAATATGATTAGTAGAAATGCATTTATAGGAAATTAGAACAGAAGACAGTAAATGTGCTATAACAAAAGGAAGAGGAGACACATCTTGACATAGAGAAAATTTTTTTAGTCAATTCTTTTATCAAAAAAGCTAAATATAGAAATTTAAAAAGAAATTTATAAAGACAGAGTAGAATTAAGGATTCGCAAAATTAATTATAAAAATAGAAAAAGTTAAGACTAGTGGACAAAAGGAAATGGCTTTCCTTTATTTTATAAAAAGCGAATATTAGAACACAATATATTTTGTGTATGTCAGAAATTGAGTTCAAATAGGCACCTCCTATGCCATGGTAAATATTTGAAAAATGTATAATGGAAGCATGAACTCTTTTTACACATTTTTGTCCATTAACAGCAGCATGAATACAGACAATAGCATCTTCTTTACTGATAACATAATATTCCCAGCAAATAGACCTGTAGTGTTCAGATCTGTTAATCTAGAAGACCTTCGTGTGGGTGCACATCTTCCAATTCACCCTCGGGGAAATTTCCACTCAGCACACTACTCAAATACAAGTCTGAAATTTCCTGAGTAAAAAAATTGTGTAAATGGTGGATTGGATGATGTGAACCAATTCATTGGCCTCCTAGATCACCAGATCTGAACGGATATTCACGCTGTTGTAGCGTTAATAGAATGTTTCCATTGACAGTGAAAAGGCATGTCTGATACGGACAATATTTTGTTTTCTAAAATTATTCGTTGTCAATAGTGTCAATGGCGCGTTTTTGTTTATTCTTTTCTGTGATTTGATATGGAAAGACAATTGGAAAATTTATCACACCTCTTGTTTAATATGATGCAAAATTGAAAATTACATGTAGGTGTTAGATACTACACATACATACTTTTAAATAAAATCCTTTTCAAATACTTTTAAATTAAAAAAATAATACTTAAAAATTAGGTATATCATCAAAATTATTTTGTAGTTTGATAACAAAGTTGAAGTTTGTGTAACAATCTAATACAATTCCTTCAAAATTGTTATTCAGAAGTTTTGCTCATCTTCCGTTTACAACATCGACATTAATTTATTTACCAACCAGTCATTTCACCGCAATCTCATTAAAATGATTAATTTTCAATTTATATAAACAAGATATGTAATAGCCACGTAAATGATGCGTTAGTGCGACAAAACTTATGGCGTAATAAAATTTACAAAAATTAATTAACCTCTTTCTGCATTAACGATTCAAAATAGCTTGTTTTATTACATTAATTTATACTGTTTGTTCAAGTGGTCGTTGCTAGACATTTTTTGTTAGAACATCGCAAAATGATTAATCCATAGATTTGATGTATACAGTGTCTTCAGATGAAGCCAGAAATATTTTAGGGGGTCGTTGCTGAAGTTATTTTGTGAAAAATGTCCATATAACGTAGGTAGGTCGAAATATGCTTCGTTTCCGAGATACAGAGTGTTTAAGTTTGAATTTTTTATTTATTTTTTAATTATTTCATAGTTTTAAAGATATTGAAATTTGAAAAACGCTTTGGAGGAATAAATGTGCCTTTTTTGGGGTGATTCGAATACTTCTACTTGCACCAGTGGCGTTCAATATTTTTAAATAAAATACAATCATCAAATTTCGAGTCATTATCTTTAAAACTCTGAAATGATTAATAAAAGTAAATAAAAAATTTAAGTTAAACGCTCTGTATCTCGGAAACGAAACATATTTCGACCTACGTTTATATTATTTTTTTTACAAAATAACTTCAGCAACTACCCCCCAAAATATTTCGCACTTATTTAAAAACACCCTGTCCTTAACTTTCCATTTCATTTTTTATGATAATGAGTTATTTTTGTATTTCTCAAATATGAGGAACTACATATTTCATTATGAAGCACAAAAAATTTTGATTAGAGTATCAAAATTTATTTTAAAAAATCGCTTCTATGAGTACAGTATAAAAATAATAATTATTTTTGTACTGTACTGTGTAAAAATAATAATTATTTTTATACTACACTAATAGAAGCGATTTTTTTAAATAAATTTTGATACACTGACCAGAATTCTTCCTACAATTATTGTAGAAGGTATAACATTCTTACCTCAACAACTCTTAGATTAAATAGGTATACTGGCACTTCATTCTCTTTATGCAAATAAGAATATATATATTTCGAAATAAAAACTATGCATAACGTGAACATAACACACATAACAGTGTGTACGATGTAAGAAAAATGTATCATTTACAATAGGGACAATAACTTTTTGCTCACTTGAAAATATGCATACTACCCATACAATTACAAATAATATCGAAATGTTTCGTTGTCTATTTTGAACCAACAATCCACTAAATATCTATAAAGATTGTGCATATTATCTATCCATTTACTTTTACGAAAATTTAGTAGCAAGTTCTTTACCACAAAATAAAAGTTTCAGGGTAGATTGCAGCAACACTGCTTATAATTTAAGCTGTGCTTAAATTGTAAGTTTATCCTTTATTCATACCACATTTATAAACACTATTATGTAGTATAAGCAAATCTTTATTAAGCTTT